ACCCCTCCCACCCCCTCCATGATTGCAAGGAGATCATCAATCATCTTGCAAGGTTGAAGCCAGATTTAACTGATGAGCCCCTGATAGGGGCTCCATGCTACTTCTCTGACAGGAGCAGCTACATCCTACAAGGTAAGAGGGTGGCTGGGGCAGCTGTCACCACGGACTCCCAGGTCTTATGGGAACAAGCCCTGGAACCAGAAACATCCGCACAAAGGGCAGAGCTCATCGCACTCACCGATGCCCTCAAGCTGGTGGAAGGTAAGAAAATCAACATTTATAGCTGATATGCATTTGCTACTGCCCATGTCCATGGAGCCATTTATCAGGAACGAGGCCTATTGACTTCTGGGGGCCAAAGGATCAAAAATGCACCCCAGATTTTGGACTTGTTAGCTACCATATGGCTGCCCCAAAGAGTGGCAATCATTCCATTGTAAAGCCCACCAGACTGGAGATGATCCTGTTGTGCGAGGCAACAATTTAGCAGATGCCACTGCACGTAAGGCAGCCATAAAATCAGTGGGGATTAAAACAACACGTGAGTTGTTACTGATGCCCCCGACCCTGTCTGAACCTATCTATTCTCAAAAAGATTTACATCTAGCGGCTCAGCTTCAAGCAAAGCCTAATGTTCCTGGGGGATGGTACCAGCTGCCTGATAAGAGAATCCTACTCCCCAAAGCCTTGGGACAAGAACTTATCTCACAGGCTCATCAGTCTACTCATCTCGGGAGGGGGGGGGGGTCAAAGCTAGCTACATTGTTCCAGGATCGCTTTTTCATTCCACAGTTAACTAAGCTTACCCAGTCCACAAGCCTTAGATGCCCTCAGTGTCAGCTTGTTAACCCCAAACGTCCACAACGAATTGAAACCACCCGGTACAGAGGGACCATGCCTGGAAAACATTGGGAGATAGACTTCACTAAAATGGGAAAGCCTAGACTTCAGAGATATAAATATCTGTTGGTTATGGTTGACACTTTCACTAGATGGGTTGAAGCATTCCCGACTAAGCCGACTGAGTCAGCTTTGATAATAGTCAAAAAGCTTTTATATGAGATAATACCTCAATTTGGCCTTCCTTTATCTATGGGGTCCGACAATGGCCAGGCTTTCATAGCCCCAATAACTCAAAAGTTAACTAAGGCTTTACAGATTGATTGGAAACTTCATTGTGCCTATCAACCACAGAGTTCAGGACAGGTGGAAAAAATAAATCAGACTTTAAAAACAATGATAACTGAAATGGCTCTGGGAACTGGCGAAAACTGGGTGAGTCTCCTTCTTTTTGCCCTTTTAGGAGTGCGTTGCACACTTTATGTTGCAGGGATCTCCCCTTTTGAGGCCATGTTCGGGAGACCCCCTCCCCTCATCCTCAAAATTGCTGAAGAAAAATTAGCTGATTTGGCTAATCAGGACCTCATTAAGTCTCTCCAGGTTCTCCAGCCCATCCTGCCTCGATCCATCAGTTATTCAAGCTGCAGCACCCTCCACCACCTGCCTCCACCCAGGATGACCTCTTGACTGTGCAACCCGGGGAACTGGTGCTCATCAAGCGACACCACTGAGGATCTCTTGAGCCACGCTGGGAAGGTCCCTTCATGATGGTCCTCAGTACTCCGACAGCAGTCAAGGTCACCAAAAAGACTGCTTGGATATATCATTCTCACATCAAACCAGTCCGGACCCCAGATGAAGACCAACCTTCAGATAAGTGGACTGTGGCCTCTTCTGGAGACCCTTTAAAGCTTAAATTAACCAAATGTACTTGATTGTTCTGATCTTATGCATCCTCCCTCGTGGGGACACAAATAAACTGGGCCATGACCCAGTACATGGGACTTGGAAATTAACTGATTACAACACTGGGGAGGTATTGGCTTCCAACACCACTGTTCATGGGGAAATTAGGATAGATCTGTGCCAATTATTAAATATAAGTCCAAAACCCCCCAGAATCTCCTATATGCCAGGTGTTGGGGCCAATATCTGTGGAAACGTGCCTAACCAAAAGAAATTACAGTCTATTCCATGGTACCTCTGCCCCCAAACCCAATATTATAAAAGGGTACCTTACAGCTATGGGACCCAATCCTGTGTGTACTCGCAGGACACAGAGTTTTTCTGTCCATACTGGAGCTGTGTCACTATCTCCCCTTGGAATGGAGGCAATGCAGATGAACACCTTCGCCTTACCCGCAGTACTCCTAGCCCACGTGACCTTAACCAATGCAACCTGATGACCTTTACAGCAAAGGAGCCCACCAGCAGACTCTAAAAAGAAGGATTACATTATAGTATCAGACTCTAGACTTCACCTTGTTATAACCCTGGAAACTCTTTTACTATACAGTTCATTCCAGGGCCCCCACACATAGCTCCTGCTCGCCCCATAGGACCCCTAGTTCCCCTACCACCTCCACCCTGCCGCACTCCCTCTTCTTCCCCTCTGCCTACTACATGCCCCCCTTCTCCTTCCTCTGAAACAGTTACATCCTTGTTCCCCGCCACTCTCACTGCACCCCCAGACCCTTTCTTGCCTCTAGATATTGCTTTCCAGTTCCTAAATTTCAGCTCGCCTAATCTTACCATTGACTGCTAGCTATGCCTTCCCTCTCATCCACCCTACTATACAGGCACTCCTGTGACAGCAGAGCAGCTTTCTAACTCTTCCGCTGAAGACCCTACTTGCTGGTGGGGCTCTAAGCCCCTGCTCACCTTGAACAATGTCCAGGGCACACCTGACACATGTGTCTACTCTGCCTCTTATTCTCTGCGAACTTCACCTTATGCTTCACTTTGTAACCTGATCTCTTCCATTCAGATCTCCAATTTTTCATACCCCGCTAATCAACATTTGGTTGCTCCAAACGGAACTTGGTTCGCCTGCACTTCAGGTATCACTCCCTGCTCTATGCATCATTTGTTCACTCAGCATCCTAAACTTTGCATCATAGTACACATTTTTCCTCAGGTCTATTGGTATTCAGGAGAAAATGAGAAAAGCCACATTGTGTCCGGCTCACTCCCCCAGGGACTTCACCTCCAAAAAAAAAAAAAAAAATCCTGTCCCCACCCTGCTAGGAATAGGGATAGCCGGATCCCTGGGATTAGGAGTATCTAGTCTAATCATTAAAGACCAAAATTACAGACACCTGAGTGCACTCATTGATCAAGATCTAGCTTCCCTCAGTGACTCAGTGTCTAAACTAAAAGACTCCCTTAGTTCCTTGGCAGAGATGGTACTACAAAACCGACGAGGCCTAGATTTGTTATTCTTAAAAAAAGGTGGCCTTTGTTTAGCTTTAAAAAAAACCTGTTGTTCATACGCCAACCACGCTGGTGTCATCTGACAAAATATGGCTAATCTCAAAAAAAGATTACAGAAAAGAAAACGAGCTAGACAAGCTAAATTAAACTGGTTTGAATGATGGTTCTCCTTCTCCCCTTGGTTAACAACTCTGGTAACCACTGCCGCTGGACCTCTATTAATTTTGCTTGTTTGTGTAACCATTGGGCCATGTATCATTAACAAACTGCTAAATTACGTTAAGAACCGGGTACAAACTATTAAGCTAATGGTTCTTTTTTTTTTTTTTTTAAGCTAATGGTTCTGAGGACTCAGGGTTATAAACAAATTCCTCTGACTTAGTCTATGAGGCAAAGATTTGCCTCACTAACATAAAATCAGTTGGGAATGTTGTAACCGGACCAAAGCACCGCCATCCTCTTCTGTATGCGCCATTTCCCCTCACCCTCAAGTCACCCATTGTACCCTTAAAAAACCCCTGCTAAAAATCCCCTGCTGCAGTTCCCAGGCAATGCAAAATCACAAGAGCCAACTTGTTAACTCAGTGTTCTTATAAAAACATCAGTTCTGAGAACTATAACCACCAGATGTACCTAACATCCTGTAAAGACAAGATCTGGGTATTAAATGTTCCTACCCTTTGCAGTTTTTTCCTTTATAACCCCCTCGCTGCTTCTCCATGGGGCACAGCAGTACAAAGCCCGTCTATGCTCTGTGCCGCTGGGTACCAGCTTAAATAAAGCACTTCTTTTTGCAAAGAGATGTCTCATCCTTTTTGGGGTCCTTTTTTCTTGGTAGAGCAGTATCTAATCAAAAAGGAGTGGGCAAGGTAAAAAAAAAAAAATCTCTCCCCAAATGAGTTTCTCCTATTAGTAATTCAAATTAGAAATGTGTGTTATTATGAAGAGTCATTTCTAAAACACTTGAAAATCCAGGAGATATTTAATGTACCAGCTCTCTTTTCTTTCATAAATTTTTCTATCAAATTCATGCCAATAATAATAATCACAGAAAAGGAGAATATTAAAAAGCAATACTCCTAATTTTATGGAAACATGAGTTTCTGTTTGAATGATGTTATGCAAAAATGAGATTTCCTTTTCAATCTACTGAAATGTGCATTTCTTTCATTAGCATATATACCCTATGATAGAGTACTGCAAGTTAGTACACACATGCACACATACACACACATGCAACACTGTGCACTCTTTGACTTCATGACATCTCCAATAGGTCTGGGGCAGTGGGAAATCCCAAAATCCTGGTAGGGCAACACTCATTCCCTTTATGCTATTGCTGCCCTTTTAGATCATAGGACTCTGCCCAGGCTGGGCTCAAAGATACAATATAACCCTGAAATTTAGACAATAAGCTTTCTCTCAACTATCAAAGCAGCCCATTTCAAAGGTAAATATTTTAAAAAATAGGAACACAAGCCCATAATCAAAACAAAATAACCTTTCAGAAGCAAAAAGTAAATATTTCTCCACATTGAAAACTATTTTGGCCATCATAGAAAACAAATAGGACATTTTCACATGCAACAGTGCACAATTACTCACTTTAAAGGTCAGAAACAGCCTCAGAAAGACTGACCCAAAGGACTCATATGAGCTCTAAGTCCAGAGCCCCTACTTTATCACAGTAGAAAGTAAACCCACTTTGACAATAAATTTGCACTTACATTATATAGTTGGGACAGTCACTGTGTTCTGTTGTATTGAGTCCAAGACAGAAGTTTAGCCCCAAAAACTCATTATGCTGCAAAGCCTATAACACAGATGAGAGTAGGCAAATTAAGTAGCTTCAAATTTTAAAACATTTCCAAGAAATTATCACAATTATGTCTTGTGGCTTAATCTTTATTATTATTTCTAAAGCACACCAAGTTTCACATTCATAATCTTTGTCACAGCAAAGCAGCTACTTTTTTTGCTATTTAGAGAACTGGCTTTGGAATGATGCTTCAAATTGGTCAAAAAGAGAGACCTCTGGCTCCCTCGATAGATTGCTCCATAGATCCTTCCTTATCTCTCAAATATTTTAACCCCATAAACATTACAGTTAAAATGTTCCAACGCTGCTCAATGAATATTGCTTACTGATGGAAATTATTTTCATCAAAACCAGTTGTAATTATGGAAAATAGAAACTTGGTATACTGCATAAAGACATTATTCTTCAGAGCAAATTAACTTAATAAAGCCAATATTGCAATGGCATTGTCTTTGTTTCCATTTTAATATCCATTTCTATATAAACCTCACATTCTAGTCTCCTATCCTCTCATTTATTTCTTTATTATACAGAAATACATCAATATGTTTTCCATTGGGCTGGGGATTTAGCTCAGCGGCAAAAGCGCCTGCTTGGCAAGCGCAAGGTTGTGAGTTCGGTTCCCGGTACCGGAGAAAAACCAAAAAAAAAAAAAAAAAAAAAAAAAATGTTTTCCATCAAGTAGTTAACCTTTCCCATTTACTATGAAATTTCTCTAAACCTTTGATGTCCCTCAGACAATGGGGTGACTGGGAAACCCAGATGGCCCCCTGACCTTGTGCTAACCAAGGCTAATAGTGTATTCTCTTTAACTGCTCCTGAAAGGAGATAACTATAACTCATGGTCAGGTAAATGAGACAGTCATGGTTCAGTTTGGCTGGTCCCAACCTGGGAAGCCAATAACAAGACAGACACGGACACAGTCTTGGTTACTTTTCTATCGTTGCTGAGATAAACTACCCAACATCCAAAATTAAGGAAGGAGGGGTCTACTTTGCTCACAGTTTGTGGATGTTTCAGTCCATACTCCCTGGCATCAAGGCAGAGTGGCACATAGCAGAGGACAACAGTTCACAGCAGCGGGAAACAGCAAAAGCAACAAGAACAAAAAGGGAAAAGCAGCAAGCAGCTTCTTTCCCTCCCTTACATTATATGCAAACTACCCACCCCAGGGCGGGTGCAGTACTCACACCCATAATCCCAGCATTGGACCATAAATCAATCATAAATTCCTGAAGCCCACCCCATGACTGCATGAGGCATTGGGGGAACATCCACACACAAACTATAACATTCTGTCCCTGTCCCCTCAAAGACTCATGTACCTCCCTTCATGACAAAGAAATTCTAGTCCATCTCTAAGAGTTGCCAGTGTCCTAACAGATTTAGCATTGCTGAAAAGTCCAAGTACCAAGTCTTCTCTGAGATGTAAGACAAACTCTTAGATGTGACCCCCTGTACAAATGAAAACAAAGTTAAACATTTGCAACATTCAGTGGCGCAAGGCAAACATTAGCATTCCAAAAGGTACAAACAACAGCCTGTGTCTCTGCCCTCTGTGTGCCTGGCACTGCCAGGAGATACTGGTTCAGAAGGCCCACAAACCACTAACACTGGGGTTCAAGATTGGGCCCTCCCTGCGTGTGCCCTTCACCGGCTGAGCTATTAGATCAGGTGGTCCCTGATCTGCTGACACTAAGGTTTGCATCTGGGCTTTGTGTGCACCCTGACCTCCCAGAGATCACAGAAATAGGTGGCCCACGATCTCCACCAGTGCATCCTGCATCCAGCTCCAGCATGCACCCTGAGCTGCCTGGAGACACTGAATCAGGTGGTCCACAAACTGCTTAATCTGCGGTTTGTGTCTAGGCTCTGCCTGAGCCCTGAACTGTCTGGGGACAAGGACCAAGTGGTCTGTGATCACACCACCAATGCAGCCCACTTCTCGGTCATAAGCGTGCCCTGAGCTTCCTGGGGACACTTGAGCAGGCGGTCTGCGATCTGCAGATATTGTGGTTCATGCCTGGGACCTGGGAGAACTAGGTACACTCTGCCAACCACCAGAAGACCCTAGTGTGAGCAGCCAATCTCGGCAGCCAATGAGGGGCAAGTCTGACCACAAAGATAACTAGGGATGCTTGCAAACTTTGCTGAGCTGCCAGGGAAGAGGGAGCAGGATGCTCTGCCTCCAGCATCAGATATGACGAGACAAATGTCTAAAATACAATCTCTAACTCCACCCCACCCAGAACAAGTCCAGGAGACACCAACATAGCAGAACTTGGTAAACACACACCTGAAATCACATGACATGATTGCCATGGAAGTAAAGAAACAACTCCATCAGGCCACAGAAGACATCATATCAGCAATAATGTCTCAGGTAAAAAACGAAATCACAACAATAATGACAGAATTGCTCAACACATCTTAAGACATATAGAAAAAAATAGATGAGCATAGGAAACTGATGGAAATGTTAAATGAAAAATACAGGAGTGAACTAGAATGCATGGAACAAATTCAGAGATATCCAGGAAATCAAAATTTCCACTGAAAGCTGGCAAAACTGCTCGAATGAAGCTGAAGACAGGATTTCAGTTCTTGAAGACAGCATGGCAGCTAATGATCGTGACAGGAAGGATCTCTTAAAATTAGCAAGGAACCAGGAAATCACTTCAGCGGCTGCAAGATGAGGCAAAGAGAAATAATGTAAGGCTAATAGGAGTCAACAAAACACTAGGAGGCAACACAAATGACATAAAGAGACTATTTGCAGAAATAATAGTAGAAAATTTCCCAACCATGGAAAAAGATTCTGACATACAGGTAAGTGTGGCATATAGAACTGCAACTAGTCATAACCAAAATAAAACTACACCCAGATATATAATAATCAAGATCCCAGACATACAGCAAAAGAACAGAATATTAAAAGCTACGAGAGAAAAGAAAAGAGATCATCTATAAAGGAAAGCCCATCAGAATCAAAGCAGATTTCTTAACACAAACCATCCAATCGAGAAGAGCATGGAGCAAAGTATTATAGGTCCTGAGACAAATAGCTTCCAACCAAGATTGATGTATTCTGCAAAACTATCCTTCAAATTTAATGGAGAAATAAAATATTTCCATGACAAAGAACAACTGAAGAACTTCATGAGTGCCAAACCAACCTTACAAAGAGTACTAAAAGATATTCTAGACAGAGGAAGAAATGACCACAATTTCAAGAACAACAATAGAAAGGAACCCTCAAGCAAAGCAATTAAACAGAGAGAAAAAGCAGAAAACCAACAGCAAGTAAATAACATGACAAAGACAATCCAACACACATCAGTTATAACCATTAATGTAAATGGCCTTGATTCACCAATCAAAAGAAACAGACCTGCAGGGTGGATTGAGAAACAAAATCCAACAATATGATATATATAAGAACAGCCACAGCACAAACATACTCAGCCACCTAATCTTTGACAAAAGGGCCAAACAAGTTCAATGGAAGAAAGAGAGTCTCTTTAATAAATGGTGCTGGAGAAACTGCCTTGCCACTTGCCGAAGACTGAAAATAGACCCAAGTCTATCACCATGCACCAAACACAAGTCAAAATAGATCACAGATCTCAATGTTAAAACAGAAACACTAAATCTATTGGAAGAGAAAATAGGTAAAAATCTTGAAGACATAGGGGTAGGCAGAGAGTTCATGAACATAAACCAAACCGCATAGGAAATACTTCAAAGAATCAATAACTGGGATCTCATCTTACTGGAAAGTTTTTGCATATCTAAAGAAATCACCAGCAGAGTAAAAGGAAAACCCACAAATTGGGAAAAAAATTTTAGCTGACTGTCCATGGGACAAAGATCTTCTATCTAGAACATATAAAGAATTCAAAAACAACAGACCTCCCAAATTCAAGGACCCAATCCAAAATGGGCATCTGAGATGAGTACACACTTTTCAGATAAAGAAATACAAATGGCAAATAAATACACAAGAAAATGTTCAACATCATTAGTCATTTGAGAAATGCAAATTAAAACAACACTGAGATTTCATTTCACCCAAGTAAAAATGACTATCATTAAGAAATCAACCCATAACAAATGCTGGTGAGGCTGTGGAGAAATAGGAACTCTTCTCCACTGCTGGTGGGAATGCAAACTGGTGAATCCACTGTGGAAATGAGTTTGGAGATTCCTCACCAAACTAGGTCTGGAGGTCCCACTGAACCCAGGAACTCCCCTTCTGGGTATTTTCCCAGAAGAAATGAAAACATGATATCACAGACATATATGTGCAGCTATGCTGAAAGCAGTGGAATTTGTAATACTTAAATTGTGGAAGCAACCCAAATGTCCATCCACTGAGGAATGGGTAAAAAAGTTGTGGTATTTTTTATATAATGGAATGTTAATCAGGTATAAAGAAAGATAAACTTGAAGCTTTTATAGGTAAATGGTCACAACTGGAGACCATACTCATAAGTGAAATAAATCAGACCCACCCGTGTAAACAATGTATTGTCTCAATGTAAGAACCTGAAAGAGTGAATAAAATTAGGAGGTATGATAAACATTATGAAATGAAAGGAAAATGCTCAAAAGTAAAGAACAACTGGGATGAGGGAACAGAGAAAAGAAAGGGAAAATTTATGTTTATATGTATATACAAGATGGCTAATGATGTACTACTGACTTCTATCACTTTACTGAAATGAACAGTTAATGATTAATTATTTGACCAGTCTTACATGTCTATATTTGTTTTCCTCAGTAACCACTTTGAAGAAATCAATATGTAATATAACAGCCATTGTTAATTTCCTATCATCTTGTCTAAATTTCAGTATTGCATATATTGTTCTTGTATTATTTTGTAAATGTACATTTTTAAATGTTTTCGTTCTTTTATTTTTTTAAATTAAAAAAAAAGGAAAAAAAAAAAAAAAAAACCAAAAGTGACAAACAGGGTTATATAAAGCATTGGGACCAAAGCAAGTCTAAAATCCAGCAGGAAAAACATTAAGTCCTGTAGTTCCATGTGGAACATTCCAAGCAATCTGTGATAAATTATGAGCTCCAAAGGCCTTGTGTGGCTCCACCCCTATTGCACTTCTGCTGGTTGTAGCTCCTATGGCTCCGCTCTTGGGCCCTCCTTGCAGCTTTCCTCAGACAATCCACGTTCCTGGCTTCTCCGAACTTCTGAGGTCTCTACTACACTTTAGGTTTCACACTCACATCTTCACACATTGCCCTCTCAGGGCGTACTGCCTGGCCTCCCAGGCCTTCTGAAATCTAGGTGGAATGCAGCCTGGTGAATCCACTGTGGAAATGAGTTTGGAGATTCCTCAGCAAACTAGGTCTAGAGGTCCCAGAACTCTTATATTCTGTATGTGCCTAAAACCAGTGCCATGTGGATGATGCCAAGGTCTGCTGCCACCTGGAGCAGTAGCCAAGCTTTCCTCTCTTTTGGCAATAGTGGTCTAGTGCCCAGATCACTGAGCACTCTGAATCCAATTCTGAGGAACAAATTCTCTATGCCACTGCCATTCTGAAACTTCGTGCGGCCATCGCCATTCTGGCACATGGCGCTCTGCAACTTTCTCCTCAAAGCAAAGTCTTTCACCTTTGCAGTTTTGAGGCTACAAAGGGTGGAGACTTGCTGCTTCTTGTGATGCCCTCAGGTCATCTTTTCTAATTCTGTTGCTTTTCAGCAATGGAGATCTCCTCAGCTCTATCTTTACAATCCACATCTTTACTGGAGCTTCCTTTCTGGCCAAACTCACAACAATAATTATCCAGCTGGGCTCTTTGCTCTTGATTTGCAAAATAAATCTGGTTAAAGGCCCAACAATAGCCATGTTACTGTCCCAACATCGAACTGCCTGGAAATGTGTTTGTCAGATTAATCAATCTGCCACTCTTAATCTCAATCTCAGGCAAAGTCTCTGGACACAACAAAATGCAGACAAACTTTCTGACAAGCCATAACACACATCATCTGGAGTCCAACAACCAATGTAGTATTTCTTCCCAGCAGAAAGCTCCAAAACTCAAGTCTTTACCAGCAGGATTTCTATCAGCCCTCTGGTCTTCTGAGTTCTGCCCAGAATCATCCATACAGAACAGTCTAAGGCATTCCAGCACTTCTCTTTCAGGTGACATCTGTGAACCTTTCCAAACTCTTCCCACATGTCATTTCCAAAGGCTCTTCAACCACATAGTCAGATATAGTCAGAGCAAGGACCCCACTCCTCTGGTACCAAATTCTGTCCTGGTTACTTTTCTCTTCTTGCTGAGACAATATACCCAATGTCCAAAATTAAGGAAGGAAAGGATTATTTAGCTCACAATTTTTGGAGGTTTCCGTTCATACTTGCTGGCTCCAAGGCAGAGTGGCACATAGCAGACAACAATAGTTCATGGCATTAGAACACAGCAAAAGAAAGAAGAGCAAAAAGGGAGAAGCAGCATGCAGCCTCTTTCCCTCCCTTACATTATACGTAAACTACCCACTCCAGGGTGGTTGAAGCACTGATACCCATAATCCCAGCATTGGACCATGAATCAATCATAAACTCTAGAAGGCCACCCCATGACTACATGAGGTCTGGGTGGACATCCAGACACAAACCATAATGGACACTTACCGTAAAACCAAAATGTGGAATACTTAAGTACTGAAACCATGAAAACACAGGTGCAATGGTTTCAAAATACAGTGACATACTCAAAAAAATCTATGAAAACAAAAAAAGAACAACAAATCATAACCAATCCAGTGATTTCAAGAGGAATTCTAAAGACCCTGTTCAAGAACCCGACAATATTCTAACCATTTCTGAGAGGACCAACTGGGTCTTGAAATTCTTTTCACTTATCTAAACACTAATCTTTTTCCTCTGCACATGAATACCTCTGCATAGCTTCAGCTGCTAAAGATGTGAAAGAAAGAACAACACCTTAAAATCTATGTTATATAGTTCTTTTATTATTAAATTTAAATTTGTGTTACATAATAGTTCTGTTCCTTCTTGGGAATTGATACATGCATATGACATCTTCATCAGTTTTGACTGCTTTATTGCCTTCTTGCTTTCCACTATCTCTCTTTTGTTTAACTTATTTGTTTTCTGTATCTCATATAAGAGAAATGATATCTACAGTGATATCTAATACAATATAAATGCTACCTAATTTATTACACTGTAAAGTTTAAGCAATTATGGCAAAAAATGAAAAAACTGTTAAGTACACACATGGTATTTGTTTTATACGTTCAATTGGAGGTTTGTGGAATCTTTGCATACAGAATCCATGAAGGGACAACTATACTGACTATTCTAAGGATACCACAACTATCTGTTTCCTTAACAAACCTGGTCATCTAGGAACAGACCAGAACAATGCCAAGTATCCTATGCCCCTCTCTAATCTATACAACAGCAAGGTTGTTATTCATAAAGTTTTGCTTTCTAAATCTAAGAGTTTATGAATAATGTGGGGTTCAAAATGCAAGCTTAGGGTTACTCAAAGCCTAGAACTGATAAATAGCATAATGTGGCAATATGTAAAAGAAAATATACCCCATATCTCCATTTAAACCTACCAAAAAGTGGTAGCATGGTGGAGATATAAGGAAGGACTCCTCAAGATGAGTAAGAGACAGCTACGGGATTCACATCAAACTCATCCTAACTGGGAGAAGCCTTACAGGGATATGCAAAACAATGACAGTATTGCTAGTGTATCTGCATATATTCAGAAAACCTAACCACGTGTTCAGTACATAACACAGCAACTTTGTGTAAAATTTGGTTTTATAATTGGTGTTATGGTTTAGATCCAGAATTCCCCCAAACTTTCATGTGTTCAGAAGAAGGGCTTTTGAAAAGTGATGAGCCCATGGGAGGTGCTACATGATCAGCAGATTAATTCACTGACTAGTACATTCATTGTTGAGTGTGCTACTAGAAGGCGGGGCCTGGTCTGAAGAGGTAAATCACTTAGGGGTGTGACCTGGCAGAAAATGTCCTCCTCCCTGGATCCTCCCTTCACATTCTGTTTCCTGGTGAGGGAAAACAATGAGGCAACTGGTTCCATTTATCTGACAGCAAAATTTGGGAACATGTTTGATTATAAATAAGCAACCATTAAAAAAAGAGAGACAGTGATAAGCCAGGAGAAGTGATGTAAGCCTGTGAATCTCAGCTACTCAGAAGAATGAAGCAGACAGACTGAAAATCTGAGGCCAACAGAGGCAAACTAGCAAGACCTTGTCTCAAAATAAAATGAAAAGAGTTGGAAATATAGCTCAGTGGAAGAGCAACTGGCTGGCATGTGAATGGCCTTGGGTTCAAGCCCTAGTATTAAGAAAATGAAAAAAAGAAAACCAAAAGTATATTCCTATCAGAGATTCTTAGAAATTCAGAAATGAGGTGACATAGTACAGTGGACATTGGAATTTTCCAGTATTTTTAAAACACTTCGTTTCAAAACACAAGACCCCAAGACAGACTTTGCATGCGACACACTGTTACACTTCTCATGTAGCTTCGCTTTCATCCTAGAGAGTAGTAACTCCAGCCGTACCACCTCTGCTGTAGCAAAAAAGCCAGCAGATCTCTAACACCAGCAGGAAAGGCAGGCAGATAGCATGACACTTTTATGAAACAATTGACAAACCATAATATTTCTGGTTTTAGGAGTGCCAGTATATAAGATTTCACAGTGCTGCCAGAATGACCTTTTTAAAGGTAAATTACTCAGCACATGTTAACTCAGTTACAGTAACTACACTAGAAGAGCCTTTAAAAAAAGACTGGACAAGGGCAAGGAATAAACCTAATATTCTGTACTATAAATTATATGTCAGTCTATGGTCTCTTGAAAGCATCAGAGTCCCATGTACAAAATATTCCTAGCAGGTTTTACCAGGCAGATGAATATACACAGGGGAAACAAGGGGAGAATTTCCCTCTCACAGAAGCACAGTTTATACTCACCATCATAAACACAAAATAGAGGTTCATGGAAAATGTTGTCACATACTCCAAACGTGGTTCTATTTCAATGGCCAGTGCCATGGAACTGGCTGTGTAAGTCACCAGGATAACAGTAAGCATCATGATGAAGAAGGCTTCTGCCCCTGCTTTCAATCCTAACCAAGAAAAGAAGGGGTCAATCCAACTGCCTACATCACCATGTTTTGGGAACAATTTATTGGACAAACAACAGTATAATCTAACAAACTAATATCACAATGAAAAGAGTCATCCACTTTCAACCTACCCAGGTCACCAATTTCACTGACCCTCCATGTAACTACATAAAGTTTTCATACAGTTTTTCTTTTCACACTTACTGCAGAAACACTTCTCCATGCAGCACCTATGCTCCCTTGTGTGGGCCTAGGAACAATTTCTGAGTTCCTGAGGTGAGGTGCCCCAGACAACACAATGGACCAGCATTCTCCTGCCTTGGCCTCTCACAGGAAGCTCAGCCATAGTCGTTCACTTCCCCAGACACCTGCACAGCACTCAGTGTTTGCTGTGACTGCACAGTGAGGAGCGTGGGGTCAGGACTCCATGACTTCATAGTGGTTTTAATAATTGAGACTGGGTAGGGGGCCTTCATAAACTAAGTCCCCTGGACATAGCACCACATGACTCTGTGATGGAGGATGGGGCTAAGCTGAGTTCCACAAACTATTTCATAAAGTATAATGAGCTCATGTCACACATCACACAAACTGAAGATTTAGAAACTGGTGCAAGAACACAAAGAGGAGTTTTGAGACCTCGATTCCACTCCTAATTCTTTGGATGCACATCTTCCTGATAAAATGAAATATCTAAGCTCTATACGTGGTTCTTATCCCCCAGTGCATTATCAAAACGAGAGTTTTGGTGTGTGTGTGTGCACACACGTTTGTGTGCCCTCATTCACATGTCTTTGAGTGGATGCACACATACATAGGAGTATCACTGAAATATAATATAAGGAAATTTTGATGAGCATGGGATGAAGGCTGAAAATGCAAAAATGAAACTGTCTACAACTACCAAACAAGTACTACAAAGTAGAAGGCAGAAGGAATAATATGTGTTTTGATATTTTGACCTCTCTATATACATCTCTATAGATATTAACGATATTACCTATTTATATTTATATCTATAAGGAAACACACAGAAGGATAGAAAAATATACATAAATTGGCAATAAATATTCCAGCATAATCTCAAATGGTTTTATAAATGATTTCCACCTTTGTGTATGACACACTGTAAATATGTCTTACTGAAATCCAGGTTTATAGTTTAAAAAGTTCAGATGGGAAAAAGTCTTGAGAAAAATACCCATATACCACAGTTATTTTAGAGAATGCACAGTGGTTACACATTTCCTCTCTAGCTTATGGCTTTGTTTGCATTTCAGAGAATCATAAAAATGCAGGCAAGAGAATATTAGTTTCACCTCATATGCAAGTCTAGAGACAACCTTCTTGTCTTATTACTTACCAAACAGAAAATATAGAATAAAGGTAAATATAACAGTTGGCAAAAACCTCCTAGGGATTAACTCAGCAAATAGTTTTCCAAAGAAATAAGATGACAGTCCATAGTATCCACTGGTATACTCGTGTCTATAGAAGAAAAATATACATTGTACATCCCAGATTAACTTCAGAAGGTACAGACCCGAAGAAAAACTACTCACTGTATAGAATTTTGTTGCACTATGGCATAAAAAGACAACTTCCCATGTCCTCTAGGCTACCCACTCCCACACCCTTCATACACCCGCATATAAGCTGTAGGAGGCGCTCACTGCGACCCTTTCTCATTATACAACTCCCTCCTGCAGCTGTCCACACTGGCCCCAGAATCCTGCTCCAGGTGCACAGAATCTGCATCTCCTCACTCCCCAGAGACTCTGCCCCTTCTCTGATGCTGGTTCTCTCTGAAGAACTGCAGTCATGTTGGCTTTTCCTTTCCTCTCTTCTATTATTGTTATTATTATTATTATTTTTATTACTACCATTTAGATATGCATAATGATCACATTCATCATAGGGAATGTGCACCTGTACCTGCTATAAAGAAGTTGTTTCCAAGGCCTACAATGCAGCTTCAGATCATTAATCACTCCTTACTTCTTCTATTCTTATGCAAAAAGACTTCTTTCTGTCATGATCATGTCTCCAGCTAAGCAGCTGTGTCAGTCACCGAATCCTAAGCTTCCGCTTTCTCGCACTGTGCTCTCATAATTCCAAACTATTTCACTAGTGTCTTACCCTTTCACCTCTCTGATGACTCCTTTCCTTGGCATGTAAATACGAGCAAATTCTCTTCTATCTTTGAAAGACACAGAGACAAAACCAGCCTGCTCCTCACTGTAAAGCTGCCCTCTCAGTCTTTCCACTCCTCCATGCCACGAGGGCTAACCTTGCTCATAGTCTTTGTCAACTTTACCCCTTCCTCCATTTCACTGCTGAACCCACCATGTAATCACCACCAGTCCCCCCAAGCTATTCTTGCCAGTGTGTCTATGACCAGTTATTTGTTAAAAACAAAAGCTTCTCTTCAGCCCCTTTCTCAGTTCCACTGGGATTTGCTGACCACACCCTGATCTTGAAACCCCTTTCCCTAGGTAGCAGACTCTACCCACTGTTGCTGTTCCACTCCACTCATGACTCTCTTTTAAATCAGCATTAGTACATACGAATTTCAAAAGCCTGTGTATGTAATAAATATATAGATAGTGTATATTTGTCAATTAAACAAATAAAGTAAAGCTACCAGTAATCCCTAGGATGGCATCCTTGGCCCAATTCTCAATGGAACCAATTTGCCCAACAGTCACCACACTGGTTAGAACAGGAATCTACTCACATGAACAGCTTCTTCTCAAGCATGAAGATCTCCCCAGCTGACACGCTGCTGAAACACTGAAAGACTGTCAGTGTGAAGAGCACTGAGGCTCTGCCAGGTGAAAACAAGAACAAGAACACCACAGTGAATTCACCAAACACCATCAGGCCGATTTTCTACCTGCAGAACTCTTTTCATGAATAATATTACATTAAACAAATTATTTAAACTTTTCTTTACAAAAGCTGGAATTAGTCTGGTTACAAGTGAGAGGGGAGTCAGCACCCCATAGGCTCTCTCCTCCATCTCTGTCTCTACAGCT